CTCTCTCTCTCTCTCTCGTCTTCGTTTTCCTTCTCTTATACGAGATTAAGAAGATCGATGGAACTCTTTACGAATTCGTTTTCTTTGATTCATTCGTGATTTCCGTAATTTCCTCTTTCTTCTTTAATTTCTCGTCGACTTTTTTTAAAATCATTTTCTTTTCCAAATTTTCTTCCTTCGTTGACTTTTCCGATAGCTTATCTTCATTGACTAAATCCGCAACCTTAAGAATTCTTTCCGGTACGGTTTCTATCTTTTGTGATATCTTTTCCTTTTCGATCGATTCTTCTTTGATCGGTAGTTCTGATTCTGACAATTGACCAAACACATTTCGTACGTGCTCTTTCTTTGTTTCCAGTGCTTCAGCTACTGCTGCAGTACTAGTCTCAATAGCGGTAGTAGGTGCGAGATAAGCGCAATCCTCTTGATTCGTTTTCACGAAGAACGCTTTGGAAATCTTGTATTTGTCCAAAACGCCATAAGCCTAAAACATATGTTTGTGCTTGTATTTATTTTATTTATTTCTATATTTTCATATACATGAATTTGGTTAAAATAAGCGTCAAATTTTTAATAATAATTATATCGAAGAATTTTTATATAGTACGTTAAGTATATTCGATGATTTGAAATATGTGAAATTGATAAGAATTTTACACATTCAAGGCTCGCATGTATCATTTCGAAATTAATAACTTTTAAAAAAGAGAAATGTGTGTATGTGTATATATATATATATATATACATATAAAGTCATACCTTTTGAAGTATCGATCCAGGTGCGATTCTCTCTCTGGTCATGACCCAAGCATTTTGGGCGTGGATCGGACCAATACCAGAACAGCTCCACAGTACGGCATAGTTATCATAATCAGTTTCTAACACTGAATAATGTGTCTCTGGAGTTAGAGGTACTGCCGTATATTTCACGTATAATTTTCCTTCCTCCGCTTTCGAAGCTGCCTTTTTAATTTCACCTTCCAATATTCTCTTGATTCCTGTACTGTATAATTAAATAATAATTATATTTATTTTATCTCGGAACGTTGAATTGTCGATGAAATCCACTTACATTCTGTTCGTAACTTCATTGCTCACACGTAACTTGCCATCAGGACTTCTCGTATAATTCGACATGACGCAACGTGAAACCACTTCAGCTAATTGGAAATATCTTTCTGCTTCGTACCAGACTCCCAAAAACTGTAAAAATACGATATGCTCGTTAAGACTGTCTTAAAATATTTATTCATTTTCTTCTTGTTTTTTTTTCTTTTTCTTTCTTTTTTTTTTTTTAAGATTTTGTATTCAAAGAACAGGTAGATATAAATAGTGTTTAGAAAGGGATTACTATTTTTTAAATAATTCCTAGTCACATTGATAAATTTATCGTAAAAATACGAAAATAAAAATATACTTTCCTTAAATCTTAATCCTTTAAAAGATCCATTGATACATTATCGACGTATATGTAACTCTTACAAAAAAAAAAAAAAAACCAAACCCGGTCTTCCAAATAAAGATTATTCCAACTTACCCTGTCCATGTCGAAGTTAGCCATTGGTACGTATTCTGGACACCAACCCAGACTTGGTATCTGGGCACTGGTCAATGCCAGAATTGTCGCGAGAGTCAAAACCACCTTGCCGTACATGTTGTTCTCTGTATCTGCCTTGAAATCCGTACGATGCTTCTTCTTTATATACATTAAGGAGGTAGAATGCAGGAGCGTTGACCGGGCGTCTATATCCCCTCTTTACCCTTACCAACGTATTGACGTTCTTACGGTACTCTTCAAGAACTCCGAGAAACTCTGGCCAGTCAACGAGACGAGAAAACCGAAGAGACGAGAGAGTCGGTTATTGGTCAATGACGTCGGTACGAATCTCCTGCCAATAAATATCAGCTAACTCAATGTCTGCACTTCCAACGAAAAACAAGAAACGCAAGCTCCATTATGCAATTCCTTCGACAACGGTACTTTCCGTGCTCATGCTCGGCACAACGATTCGATTTCATGAATTTCTATCTTCCAACGGTTCCAAGCCAATGTCCGTTTGATCGAGAGCAGAATCCCGAACCTCATGCACGATGCGTGGACTGTCCAGGCCATTGGCCGGGTTTATCGATAAGGAAGACTGGTTCCAAAGACGTGTCGGACATATTTAAGAAGATAGCTGATCGGACGGATTGATTAAGGAAAGTGATTTATTAAAATTCCATTCTGACTTGATTGACCAATTGATTCGTTATAAACATCCTGGTTAAATAAGATGAACATAAATAAGATGAACCGATAAGAGAAACATGAGCGAAATATTATATGAATAACTAATCCAATATAAGAATTATTTATTATACCAGTTTCTATAGTAATTTAAAATTTTTCTACATTAAGTATCGTTGATCTTATCATTACGATTAGTAAATACCAATTAAATAATATTACGACTAATCGTTGAATTTAATCGTTTAATAAATTCATCATATTTAATAATTA